TCACATTCACCACCACTTAACTGTACTGTTTCCTTGTGTTAATTTTATTTGTCCATTTTGATAATATAGATGACATTTGATAATATAGATGACATTTATAGATGACATACTTTCCTATGCGAAATTGATTTCGTGACATCTTCTCTACCTCCCCATGAAATTTGAATCACCCTGTATACTGTATAAAATCCAAAATCTGGACTTGTTGGGACTTTGACAATTTGCATTTGGGTTTTTTTTTTCAGATATTTGATCACCAGTTTAAATCTAGTAAGATGACACATAGAAATTATAAAATTAAAAATACGAGATAGTGATTTATGAAATACTGAAGCATTTAAAACCTTAAGGAAAACAAAATTTACAAAAAAAAAAAAAAAAAAAAAAAAAAAAAAAAAAAAAAAAAAGAGCTCAAAATTTATTTGTTTGATTTATTAAACAGTTTCTTTTAATCTAAGATGAACGTCCCAATCTTCAAGTCCTGTAATTGCCATGCCGAGAATTCTCACTAAATTGCCAATTGAAATTTTTTTGTTCTCAATAATCTCTCTGTCATTTTCTTCACTATTGGTAGTTATATTTTCTGGATTTAGAACCATACTACACATATCACCATCTACTAGTTGATTGATGTCTGGAACATCGCCATTGCAATGAATATCATCTGTTACATTATCACATTAATTTATTACCACTTCTCCAAAATTCAATTAATTGGAAAATTTCACCTTTTGTTTGCAAAACCAAAAAACTTCAAATTCACATTTATCATCATAAAACATAGCTATTGTACTGTAAGTGAGCTTCTGAGATTGAGAAATAATTAGACCAGTGGTCTTTTAAGTACTTATACACTTTTACGAAAAAAATCGAAGCACTGTGAAAGAGGTTGTTTTTGATGCAATTAAATATGTGTATAATTCATACACAGATAATAAAATGATTAAAATATCAAGGTCTTAGTACCTGTTCAAGGGTCACAATCACCCACTGAGTGTTCAAATTAGTAGTTTGTCTAACCACCCCTGGTGGATATTCATGATTGAATTCATTGAGGCAAGGAGTGGTAGAGGTTCCTAATGTCATCCTGCGACACATTCTGCCAGGCATTCGTCAGTTGTCACTCCAGATCTGCAATATTTTGTGGTGCCCGAATCTGGTGGCCTACCATGCCCCAGACATGCTCGATTGGTAGAAGGTCTGGTGTTCTTGTTGGCCAAGGAAGAGTATCAACCGCACGCAGACAGTCCACAATATGTGAGCGGTATGTGGCCTGGCATTATCTTGCTGGAAAATGGCCCCAGGATGATGTGCCATGAAGCCATCATTGAGCTGTTAAAGATGTATGGAGGATGACTAAAGATGACCTGTTGTTATAAGAAAAAGTGCCCCACACCATCACACCAGGGGTTATGGCTGTATGCCTCTGTAAAACAAAGCGTAATTGGAACCACTGGCCCCATCCTTTCCAGACACGAACATGGTGGTCATCTGCTTTAAGAGTGAAGCGGGATTCATTGCTGATCACTATACGATGCCAGTCTGATGGCAACCATGATGATCGGCTGCGACACTACTCCAGAAGACTCTGCCGATGTTGTAGGGTGAAAGGCAAGCGTCTTAAAGGCCTCTGACTCTGCCGATGTTGTAGGGTGAAAGGCAAGCATCTTAAAGGCCTCTGTGAGCGAAACTTCACCTCAGACAAGCGTCATGAGATGGAGGACAGTACCATGGGAGGTATACACATGGTTGTTGTGCTCTGAATAGTTGACAATGATATTGTTGGGGTGGTTCAGGCCTGTTCAACAATCATCCTATCTTGTCTCGCATTTGTGCTCCTTGGTCTTCCAGAGCCTTCATTTCATCGGCAATTTCTTTGTAGCAACCATTGCTGCCAACATCTTTGCACACCAGTATCTGTAGGCTGCAGGTGACGGCCTATTGCTCAGTTGATCTCCCAGCTTCACACAACCCTACAATTCAACCACGTTCGAAGTTGTTTAGTTGTCTGTAAGGTCTTTGATATCGTCGTAACGGCATCTTTACAGAATTACAATGGCAGCAACAAAAAATGATCAATTTTCCACCTCTGTTACTGGTTTTATACTTTGCTAATTGCGTGCTATGATCAAAAATCCTGTTCATTTGCCTTGAAACTTTGATCATTTGCATGTTCTATCAAGATGTTTTTGTATACCAAATTTCGTTACAATCGCAAAAGTCCTTCTTGGTGCTTCGATTTTTTTTGCAAATGAGTGTATTTTAAAACTTGAATAAAGATTTCTGGGTTAAATAAAAGTAAAATACACACAGTTACAGTAAGAAAAACAAGCTTCCACATGATGTGGTTCAGACAGTCGCACGTCTTATACCTACGTCATTTTTTAAACAAAAGCCTCTTCCTCTCCTTTTACGTTTTTATAACAAGGAAAAACTACACAAGGGGGAGTCTCCTTAATGAGTTTTTTTGTTGATTACTTTCTGGTCATTTAGCAGACACTTGGTGTTTGTTCCCATGAGAAAGCAAGTCCTATAATTTACACTTGATGTTTCATCAAAACTGAGAATCGTTACTGTAGAGTCTGCTATACACTACTGGCGATGTACCACGAGATAGGGAGCTACAGACGTGTTTTTAGCTAAATTTTCTCTTTTTTCTATCGTGCATTGAGAAAGTAAGGCCAGAATTACATTAGCTTATTTACTTACTACACTTATGCCTACATTTCCACATATGTTTAAGGCTTATACAAGTCCCAAATAAACAATTAAGACTTAACAATAAATCAGTTATTAATTCAAACAGCACTAAATGAAATCTTTTGGCCTATGAATATCATTTACAAAATCTATTTTTTGCATACAGAAAGAAATTTCTGTTAAATTTTTCCTTGTCAGATCTTTGCACAGCAGTTAGCTCAAGTCTGTAATAGTTGTGGCCAACAGTAATATCAACACGAAAGGTAATCACGCTGTTGTAATGTTTAATTATATTTAAAAAAGTTTAGACATTGCTGCATGAGTCATTCCTCAAGCTGCCATTTGTTAATAGTCATTCGGTGTTGAAAGCAAAAAAATAATAAATAATGATTCCCCAGATTGGCATCACGGATATAAGCTATCCCATAAGTGGAAAATTAATGATATTTCAATGCAGAATATTTCAGTTTTGAGATGCATACCAAGCAAAAAGGCAGCTATGAGCCAAATTATTAATCATACAGATTTATGCTAATAAATTAGTCTTCCCTCAATACAGAGGTATTTTATTTAGTATTGAAGTAGAATTATGAATCAAGACATTTCATGTTTTATTAAAAAAATATCAAATGTGCACAAGTAACACATTAAAAAAAAAGGTTGCTGGTAGACCCGAGGTTCAGATTTTAGATCATTCCAAGTACTGGAAGTCTGCAATTCAGACTTTGTAATTCAGACACACACACACACACATACAGTCAAAAGTCGTTAATTCGGACACCCATAATCTGGACCTCAAAGCTAAAAACTTTCTGCGCATGCGCCGCGTTGACACATGCGCATAAAACCTTTATGACTGCGCAGATGCGTGTGCGCAAGTGCAGAATACATTTTTGCGTGCGCGTTTAATGTATAATGGACGATATAAGCTAAAATTATCTATTTCAGTTAATGTTGATGATTGCGTTGTTCCTTAATCTTCGAATTGGATGCGGCTTATTATCTTTTGCAGACTGTAAGAGCAATGTTATAAAAGTAAACTTGAACTTTCGATTATGTCAAATAGAATTTCCGATGCTGCAGCTGCCAAAGGATCTACAAAACGAAAGTATGTTTCGATGTCCATCAAACAAAAAGTGGAATTGCTGCAAAAAATGGATAAAGACATGAAGAAGGTGACAGAGAGGCTAGTGAAAACGAAAAAATTTCGATTGACAAGTTAGTCGGTATTCTCGGCACAGCAATTGCGGGACTTGAACGGCAGAACTTTGTAACTGAACAAGAAATTATGTCTGTTTATAGAATTAAAGAGAAAGTATTATCACATAAAACGAAGCAACTTAAATAACTTACATTGAAAGAAATGTTTAATAAAGTAAACAAATAAATATTAAGCTTTTTTTTTGTAAATTTTGATACCCTTTAGATCATATTTGTTCTTTATTTCATAAATTACGGTTTCATGTTTTTAATTTTAGAATTTCTGCATGCCATCTTACGAGATTTAAAATAATGATCTATAATCCGGAAAAATCGATAATCCGGAATCGCCGAAGTCCCGACGAGTCCGGATTAACGACTTTTGACTGTATATATATTGACATATATATGAATTTAACAAACATTCTCTATTCATAAAAAGCAAATTTAAAGTTAATTAACATTTGGTTTTACTTTTGGTTTTGACTTTTTAATTTTCCTTTTTACCCTTGCCTACATGGATGACGAAACACGAATTGAATAATTAAAGAGTTAGGTTTAGAGGCAACTTCCAATTGATAAGTATGTCTCCTAGCTGCTCAACAATTAGTCACTTATGCATTTTTATAAATTTTTAGGATTAAAAAATTTATTGGAATTATATATTATACATTTATTATATATTCATAGATTTTGATACTTGCACTTGATTTATATATGCTCTCAGAATTTAAATATTGTTGATTAGCAATAATTAATTACTTATTTGTAATTCAATTTCATTTAAAATTGCTTTTTACGAATAGAGAATGTTTGTTAAATTCAAATTTCATTCCTTGCAACAATGGCGCAAGAGAATTATTTAAATTAACTTTACTATATTCTTTTGAAACAATATTGACATATATATATCAATGTATAACTCAATCATGGAAAAAAAAAAATCAAATTAGAGAAATGTAAAATGATAGCATACTGAAGCTTAGTCAAAAACCTCTTCTAACATCACAGTTATTGAGACCAGTTGATAGATTTGAATATAACATATTCTTAATAGCAAATATTAACATGAATGAAACAATAAAACATTTAAGGCTTACTTTTAAATATTCAGGTTCATCAATATATTTCCTTAGAGCTGAAAATGAAGTTAAATAACGAAATGAAGGTGTAATATTTCTTGAACAAGACTTGCAAAGCCTAAATACACAACTCTAAAAAAATTACAAAAAATGCTGTTAATCTTAGTTGTAAATAACTAATTTTACAAATAGCAATAAATACTAAAAGTAAATATATAATTTTATATTAATTTATTTATCCTTGGGTAGCAAAATTAATACTATCATACCATATAAAAGTGTTACAGTAATTGCTTCTAAAATTTAAGATTCACCCAAGTGAAACACTAAATGAAATTACAAAAAATTACATAACAGAGATTTTATAATAAAGAAACCAAAATATCACTTCAAGTACTAAAGCAATACTTGAGCTTTTATTGAAAGAATAAAGTTTTCCTTTAATAAATATGAAATTTATTAAGAAACAAAACTTTTATGGAAATCTAGTTTTTTTGCCGATTTTTTTTTTACAAAGACTGCTAAACTATCGATATTTATCCTAACACAAAAGAACATTATCAGCAGATCAAAAGAAAACAAAAATATAATTTAAAATACAATTTTGAACTGTTAATTAAGGACTATTGTTGTTATGTCTGATAAAGGCCTATTCTCAAATAGTGCTATGGGCAAAGGTGACAGCCCTGGTAATTTACAAAATGTTATCATCATAAAGGTCTGGTCTCTTGAACAAGACCTCAGTTTTTAACAATTCAGCAAGGATGACCAGACAATCAAAAATGTCTGCAGTTGTCAGTTCTATGTCCAGGCAGTTATCATAATTTCTGTAGGTTTTCCTACTCTCTCTGTCAATTTTCAGTCCTTTGTGATGGCCAGTTCTAAGCCTGATTATGATTTTAGGTATAAGTCAATCTCCATTGATGTTACGGAGCAGTTTCATAACATATGAAGCTAGTGCTTTATTAGAATCCTCCCTAGGGAGCATGTAACCCTTAGATAGTACATCCCCCAGGTGGTGGATAGGAGAATGTCTCTACTGGTTTTCCTTTGGGTGGTAGAAGGGAAAAAAAATTCTTTTGCACACCAACAGGCAGAGGTTCAACCCTTCGAGCAATGGCACTCCTTTCTATGATAGGTCAAGATTCAATAATTAAGGATTACATGATATATTACATATACATATTATATATTACAATTTATTACTGTTTTTCTCCCTACATACACAGCAATTTATTCTCACTTAAGGGGGAAAAAATCAGAGAAATGAACAAGCTTGACACTGCACACTGTAAGGCAGGGGTTCCCAACCCTATGGCTGCAGGCACGATGGCACCCGCTAATAATTTAACGTGTGCTCGCCACTGTGCGATCACAGTAAAAATGTTTTAGCTTTCAATAAAATTTTATGTGAAAGTTTCCTCATTTTTAATGGCACAGAAATTGCAGGCAACACAGATAACAGCTCAAAGCAAAATGAGACCATCTTCTTTTTTTATGTGCATAACTCTAGCTAACTATAAATTCAGCTTGAAAAAGTAAATGGTGCCCATTGTACAACAGATATTCTAGAATATGCTCTTAGGGACAAAAAAATTTGGGGATCCCTGCTGTAGGGCTACCAAATTACAATCATTACCTAACAATAAAATTGTCAACAAGAATTATTTATAAACAAAAATCCTTCAACAACAACCAAAAAAATTTGGTTCTGATTATTTGAAACTTAGTTTCAACATTAAATTATATCTTGCAAAGATATAGTCTTTTTTATAGCTCATACATTTATACCTAATCAAGCATTATACCTAATCAAATATACAAGCATTTATACCTAATCAAAATATATGATATATAAATGTTTTGTAGCAAGAATAGCTATGAAAAATGTTTTACTTATTACTGAAATCCGATAGTCACATGGTTTGCTTATTGAATGGATCTTATTCATCAAAGATAGTGATGTTGATTTATACTACTGACATTTGAAACTGTATTTCCAAATGAATTAATTAGTATTGTAGAAATTTGTGTGAAGGCCATAACTGAACAGCATCCACTGGCTGTAAAAATATAAACATTTTTTGCATTTTCTCTTTTAAAATGCTTTTTTATATATATTGTTGTTTATGAATGAACAGTGCCTAAATTGGCTCACAATTGTTTTCAAATACCTGCATTGATCAAATTTATTTGTAAATATCAGTTACTAAATGCTAGCAAAATGACTAATTTTTTCCCCCAAAAATCCTTGCCTTGGGTGGGGGATATTTAAACTCTTTTTGGTATAAAAGATAATTTATTCAGAAAGTTTTGAAGAAGAACTCGCATAAGTATTCAGACACTTTAAACAAAAAGTTCATATTCAATAAAAACTTAAAAAACAGGACATACAATATTTTGCTGGATATCCTTTAGCTAAAATTAAACTTTTCAAATGCTTTAGCATGAATATGACAATTCTTTTTTTTTTTTTTTTTTTGAAAGACTGTTCCATTTTGTTACTTTCTTCCACAAGAACTGTTTTTAGTAAAGCTTTGAAGAAATATGTTTTCTTATTCTTTTATTGAACTCACTCCTTATGTTCAGTAGGATTTAAAATATTTGAGACTATGCTTGAGTTTTGATAACCTCAGAATAGTAATATAATAACTACAAGTGAATACTTACAGCCCTCGCAGGGTGATTAAGTGTGAAAGAACAGTCCAAATGTAGCTCACACATGTTGTAAAGCAGACTAGAACGGGGGGTACTCAGTGTGCTCCGGGAGGTATAGGCGAGTACCGTATATTAGAGGACTGCTCCTTCAGGTTGATGGTTGGACGTAGGGTAGGGTTAATTCTACCCTGTAAAAATTCATCTTGTTGTGAAGTCTAAAGAAGCAATACTGGACCGCATTTATAGAATTTGACTGGAAAACGATCAAAGGACCTGAATTTTGGATTCTAGAATGTGCGTACTCTTAGTATACTCTGATAAAGAGCTTAGGATACTCTGATAAAGAGTAAACTGCTACAAATGTTGATTGAACAGATGCCTTCTTATGGACTAGACTTATTGGCAATCTAGAAAATAATGGGATTTGGGAAAAGGAAAAACATCATTTTGATAGCTGTCATGAAACAAAGCATTTATATGGAACTAGTTTCACTTTGAGCAAAAAAGTCAGGCGTTTAATCATGGATTTTCAAGCCATTTCAATGAAACTGTGCCTCTTGTGTCTAAGATGAAATTTTACAAGTTATTCTATTATTAATGTGTATGCACTAACTGAGGAAAAGAATGATGATGAGAAGGATTCTTTTTACGATGAGCTTAACCATCTCTGGGGCTCTTGCTATGATGTAAAAATTATTAAGCATGATTTTAATGCCACGGTTGTGAAGAAGAATTTAGATCGGTTATAAGAAAACAGAGCTTACATGACAACTCAAATGATAATGGTAGTATACTTATGAGTTTTGCTGTTTCTCACAATATGTTGGTTGGCAGCACAATGTTTCAGCAAAGAGATTTTTATAAAATAATATGGAGATTTCTTGATGGACCAGATTGATCATATGATGATCTGAACAACCAAACCAGATCGATCATGTGATGACTGACTCTAGACATTTTTCAAACTCCTGGATGTGAGAACTTACAGAGACAGAGGAGATAATGTAGATTCTGATCACTGTTCAGTGATCTCCAAATTTAGGGGAAGAATTTCTTCAGCTATGAAAGTAAAAAAGAGTGTTTCTGTGAAGTTTAACTGTGAGAAGCTATGAGATCCCCAGATAATATCAAAATCAGCTGTTAAATGAACTTAAAGAGAAAATAATTGGAGATTGGCAAAAAGTGATATTTATTAAGAAAATTATTATTAAATAAAATATATATATTAATAAAATAAAATATAAATTATTATTAAATACTATTAAATTATTAAGAACTTCTTAAAAATTAACTATTGACAGCTCATATACTGATAGGTAAGAAAAAAAGGCGAAGAAGAAGAACCTACTGATTTGATGACGAGTGCAGAATTGCCAATGAAAATAGAAATAGAGCATACAAAAATATGCTTAGTAAAAACTTCACAAGAAGGGCAGTAGACGAATAATAAAGCACATGTAAGAAGAAAATAGAATAATAAAAGACAAAATAATTTACAAAGAGAACCAATTTAAGTCGAACTCCTTAGGTCTAACCATGAGAGCAGAGTTTTCTTCAGGGCCATTAATAAAAGGCATAGGGACTTTAAACCAATGATAAATTTTTGTAAAAATAGAGATGGAATTATTTTAAATAAATGGATTGAGCATTTTGACCACCTGCTTAACCCTAATTTGTCAAGTAACTTAAGATATTGTGACTGACAGGGTTGAGAGTCAATCCACTGATATTCTAGCCATTGAAGAAACTCAATCTGCTATTAATAAATTGAAAAATAATTAAAAAAATTATTGAAAAATAATTAAATAACAAAGCAGCAGGACCTGATGTGATTCTTGCCAAGTTATTAAAATATCATGACAAATAATACCTGGAAAAAGGTAGTTTTACCAAATGATTGGAGGTTAAGTATTCTATGTCCAATACACAAAAAAGAAGATTGTACTGAACTGTGAAAATTATAGAGGAATAAATCTATTATGTGATGCCTATAAAGTTTTCTCGAATATTTTATTTAATCATTTGTCTCCTATCATTGAGACTGTCATTCTGAAACATCAATGTAATTTCAGGAAAGGAACATTCACATTTGATCAGATCTTTACTTTGATGCAAATATTGGAGAAATATAAAAGGTATTGATTGAAAGCCACCATTTGTTTATTGGCTTTAACAGCTTATGATGGCACTGATCTCAGCTACTAAAAGCCCTATCTGAGCTCAAAGTTAATTAAGATTGCGAGGTTCACTCTAAGCGAAACCATGTCTGCGGTCAAGGCCAGCACCAGATACTGTGCAACTGCTAAAGCTGCACCAGGCAGCAGTAATTAGGGGTGGCAAAATGTTTAGATTTTATGGAAGCACTAGGCAGCAGAATTTAGGAATCGCAGAGATTGTA